GGGGGGTGTGTTACAGGAAGGAAGAGCTGTATACCCCACCCCATTCCCAGGTTAGGTGCCAGGGTCAGTGCTCAAGCTACGGACCCAACAGCAATGGTCACCAGTTTCCCACTATGGCACCTTTAATTTCAGTCTCCCCTGTCCATTGGAGGGAGGACTTCTGGTCAAAGCAGGAGATCCCAGTTGGTTTCATTGCTTCTGGTGGGTCATCCCCAAAGCCTGCTCCGTTGTGCCCAGTTTAGGTTAGTTTCCAGATGTGGCCACAAGATGGCACCCCAACCCACTGGGAATGCTAAGGCTCTGGGCCTGGGAGAGCAGCAGAGAGGATGTGCCAAGCTGGACAAAGGCCCAGGGGCTGGACTTGGGCCAGTTCCAGAGCGTAGCAGGACCAGATCTAAGGCTTACAAGTGCCAAGTGTGAGAACATAGGCCAAACTTGGCTTCAGGACTCCCTTCACCTTTTTCCAGTCCACTGTCACCCCAGCTCCTCCTGGAGCCGTTCCCACCACAGAGCTTATGGAGCCCAGCACACTCTCCCCTCCAGCCAGAACAAGAGCAATCCCAGAGCTGGTGTTAAAGGATATAGGGCTTATTATTATTCATCTGACAATAAAGAAGCTGAGGCATAGAGAAGTTGAATAACTTGCCCAAGGTCATAGCTAAGTCAATGATGGAGCTGGGATTTGAACACAGGCAGCCAGGCCCTAGAGTCTATGCTCTTGACCACTGAACAACAACAGCCCACTGGTAGTTCATTGCTGCCTCTTCTCACCAGCCACTGATCCCAACGACCCTCTGGCATGGGACCACACGCCTTCCTCCGCAAGGGAGGGGACAGATGGCTATGAATAAGGGGGTACCGTGCAAGTAGAAAGGGGTGAGGGTCTCGGCTGGGCTGTGGGGCTATGGTTAGTGCTTGTGGGTGAGAAACTAAGGCTCAGGCAGCAAATCCTCCTCCCACCCCCATTTCTCTGGGGGCTTTTTTTCTTTCTTTCTGTGTGCCCTCTCAGTTTTTCTGGGCTTTCTGCAAATGCCAGCCTTTTACAGTGTGAAAAGGAAGTGAGAGAAGGGACTTTTATGTCCCTGCTTAGGATGGGGGGTGCATTTTTGGGGGCCTGGGCTGGGAGTTGCCATCAAGGATCAAGGTGAGAATCCTAAAGTGGGCCAGTGTGGGGCACCTCAGGGACAGATTCCCCTGTCCCCTGGGAAGCTCCTCTCTCTGAGCCTTCTCCAATTGCCATGTAGGGGATTTTAGGGTGTAGTGGATACCCTTTCACATTTCCATTTCACATTTCACTCCAACCTCTCCTGTCTCTCTTTTTCTAATACATCCTCTAGGGCCAGGCCTGACCAGGCTCCTAATCATGAACCTTCCCCCTACTAGCAGCCTCTCTCTATCTCTCCATCTCTCCACTTGTCCACTACATGGGACACCATTCAGCTTCCCACTGTGGGTCACCATGGGGTAGTGGCCTGAGTGGGCTCTGCACTGACTCCCTGAGAGATCCTGGGTATGACCTTCCCCTGACACAGCCTCGGTTCAGGGCTCCAGATTCTCCGGCCTCTGACACTGGGATGCTAGGATCCCAGGCCCTCTCTTGGTGTTTCTCAAATCATCTAACTCTGAATGAGGAGCTGCCGTGTTCTGGGCACTGTGGAGGAAAGCAAACGAGCAGCAACCCTGGAGGAGCTGATAGTCCATTTTGGGGAAAGAGATGAGTTATAGTGAAGGCTGGGGAGCGATACTCTGATCCAATGTGGGCCTTCCTGCAGGAGAGGGAAGAGCAGGAATCCTGGGCCTCTATGGCTGGTGGAAACACCGAAGGCTTTCCGAGAGAGAAGAGGGATGTCTGGATGGAAGGAAGAGAAGGTTTGGAGAGGACTCTTTCTGATCTCTCCCCATCTTGATATCTCCCAGCCAAGTGTGTGCGTGTCTGTGTGCGTGTGTGTTCATCTCTCTGTGTCCATCTTTTTCTCTCCTTTCTGGGGGTCCCCATTTCTCTGTTTTATCACCTGCTTGGATTGGGGCAGAGCTTTCTGAGAGCCTGTGTCCTGGGGAATCTGAATTTGGATGAGGCTGAGCTGCACCAGGTCAGGCCTCCTCCTGGTTAGGGGATGGGGATCACACTGATCACGGTGAGAGAGATACTCAAAAGCACTCTCATGCCTGCATTACTCTGAGATTGAAGGGGAAATAATTCCTGTTTAGATCAATCTCTGGAGGGAGGAGGTGCCATCCTGGCCTCAGACTCCGGCCCTCTCTTTGCCTCTGTCTATCTCTACCCCTGTTTCTGCCCTAACTCTGCCTCTCTCTGTTTCTGCCCTAACTCCGCCTCTCTCTGTTTCTGCCCTAACTCCGCCTCTCTCCGTTTCTGCTCTTGTCCTTCTCCCAACGCTCATGTCATGCTCTGCCCCTCGCCCTTTCCAACCTTCTCCACTCCTCCAAACCTTTCCTTACCACACATGGATTTCCCTGGGCTGGGATTTCCCTGGCCAAGTGAGGAGAGAGATGTCTAAGACACAGCTTTGTCCCAGGCTCACAGCCATGTCCACAGGTCAGTGTAGAGGGACAGCTGTCTGCACAGTTAGCAAGTGCCGACAGGTAAATAAGAGCCTCCTGTCTTCTTAATTAAATCGCCCTTTGTCCAGGCAGCCTTGTGTTCGATTGGGCTGGACTGGGATCAATAAGCCTCTTTCCTGGTGCAGCCAACCCTGGAGCTGGGCCTGACCTCCCCAGCCCTGCTCAGGCCCACCTGCCCTTTTCCCCAAAAGTCTGCGAGCCCCTGGAGGGCAAGGTGTCTTACACCCTTGTGCCTGGGACAGAGTGTGGAATAAGGAAGGAGTAAAAGAGTGATTGAGTAAACTGAGGCACTGGCAGCAAACATGGGCCAGAAAGGCTTGGAGCCCAAACTGTAACCCCCACCCCCAAGATCAACTGAGAAGCTGTGGGAATCACAGCAGGAGCTGCTCCCATCCAGCTCCCCAGCACAACATCACCTTACTGCCCAGGGAGGCTGAAGCCCAACCGGGAGAGGGGGGATGTCAATGTTCAGGACCACTAGGAGCAGTTGCTCCTTCTGACCTTTAAGGGCAGAATACCCTTTTCATAAGGGATCCCCACGGAGGGATCCAGAGCTAGTGTGGGAGGATCAGTGAGCTGGGATCAGCATGGCAGAGCTTGTGGCCCTCAATGGGAGACTAGGGTCAGCCTGGAGTTATGAAGGGCCCAAGGTGAGGAAGGGGTCGAAAGGCAATCATAGGGTTCCAGGATTATTGGGTTGTTAGGAGGGCTTAGAGGACAGCGTTGTTTGTTGTGTGTTTGGAGGATATTATTTTGGAGTCCATTCAAGAGGCATCTATGACAGGATCACGGGGGCTCCAGGTTCCGCAGGAAAGGCCGGTATTAAAGGTTGCTTGGAGCCGCCAATGCTGGTCCAGGTCCAGGTGTCTCTGATAGCGGTTGGGGGCGTCGCATTTCACTAGGGAATCAAACAGCACCTCGTTTGGAAGGAGAGGGACGGTGCCGACGCCCTTCTAACCTCAGTCTGACCCGGGGGGCGCAGGCCTAGACGTCTCCCGGAGCCCCCGCCCATCGAGTGGCGCTCCCCCAGGGCGGAGCGTCGGCGGGTCCCCCCAGAGCAGCAGGAGCCACGCGGGGCTGGCGCCCCCAGCGCCGAGGTTGAGGGAGGCCGGCACCGCGCCGGGCTGGGAGGGGGGCGCGGAATCGGGGCTTTTTAGGACCCAGCGCGGCGCCTCCCTCCGGGGGCGAGTGCGGCTGCGCGCGCCGTGTGCTTGTGTCCGGAGAGCGGCGGGCTGGACGCGGACCGCGCGAGCAAGCAAGCGAGCAAGCGAGCAAGCGAGCCTAGCAGCAGCCCGGGCGGCAGCAGCGTCGCGGCGGCGGCGGCCGCTCCGCGCCTCGCCTCCCCGGCCTCGCCGGCTTGGCCGGCCTCGCCTCGCCGCGCCTGGACCCGCCACCCCCGCCTCCCGGTTGCGACCGCCGCAGCCCCCTCGCCTTGACCCGCACCTTCCAACCGCCTGCCCGAAGCGGGGCGCGAAGCGCGGGGCGCAGAGGCACCGGAGTCGGTGCCCACCGGCCTCGCAGACCGAAGCCAGCCCGGAGAAACCCCGTGCCCGGCCCCGCGCAGCTCCGCCACAGCCCGGGAGCTGTCCCTTCAGCACCGCCGCCGGAGCCAGAGCGTAGCCCCGCGGAAGCCCAGCTCAAGGCGGAGCGCGCACCGAGCGCAGCGCTCCGCGGCCGCCGCACCGAGCAGCGCCCCGGGTGCCCCTGCCCAGGGGGCCCGCCATCTCCTCCAAGAGGCGGGGAGAAGGAGCGAGGAGGGCGGGCGGGCAGGCAGGCGCGCCCGCCGCCGGGGGGAGCAGGCAGCCAGGCAAGGAGAGAGGGAGGGGGCCGGAGCCCGCCCTGCGCCCCGAGCAGCAGCCCGGCCACGCAGGGAGGAAGGCAACGGTCATCCATCTCCCCAGCGCCGAGAGCGCGCTGCGGCGACCACCGCACAGCAGAGCGCGAATTTCCCGGCCCCCTCTCCACCCCTCCCCCTTCCGGGGGCAGATCTATCTGTCCGGCCTTTGGAGCAGCTGACCTTCCCCCCAAAAAAGCTTTGTGTCAATTTCTTCATTTTCCCGCTGAGATGGGGACGGGAGCCCGGCCCCCCAACCCTCTTTTCCCTCCTCCCGGGGCTCGCCGCTGAGCGCCGTCCCTTTCCCTCCCTTCCTCCCTTTCTTCCTCCCTTCTTTCCTCCTCTGCCTCCTCCGCAGCTGGACCCGCTCCCTCCCCACATCTGGCGCCTAGAGACCCCTGGGATCCCGCGCACACTCCCCTGGACCAGCACCCGACAGAAAGCGCCCCGAGGGGCTTGGGTCGCTCTTGGGGTGGCCAGAACCACCATCCTCTGTACCCCCCGACGGCTGGGGGGAGGGGGGAGGAGGCCTCGCGCCCCCCTCCCCGGCGCCAACTCCCCCTGGCGGCCGCTCCCATGGGTGTCGCTGGGCCGCGCCATGCCTAAGGGGGCGCCGCGATGGGCCAAGGGGACGAGAGCGAGCGCATCGTGATCAACGTGGGCGGCACGCGCCACCAGACGTACCGCTCGACGCTGCGCACGCTGCCCGGCACGCGGCTCGCCTGGCTGGCAGAGCCCGACGCCCACAGCCATTTCGACTATGACCCGCGCGCCGACGAGTTCTTTTTCGACCGCCACCCAGGCGTCTTCGCACACATCCTGAACTACTACCGCACCGGCAAGCTGCACTGCCCCGCCGACGTGTGCGGGCCGCTCTATGAAGAGGAGCTGGCCTTCTGGGGCATCGACGAGACCGACGTGGAGCCCTGCTGCTGGATGACTTACCGCCAGCATCGCGACGCAGAGGAGGCGCTCGATAGCTTTGGCGGCGCACCCCTTGACAACAGCGCCGACGACGCGGACGCCGACGGCCCCGGCGACTCAGGCGACGGTGAGGACGAGCTGGAGATGACCAAGCGCCTGGCGCTTAGCGACTCCCCGGACGGCCGGCCAGGCGGCTTCTGGCGTCGCTGGCAGCCGCGCATCTGGGCGCTCTTCGAGGACCCCTACTCCTCCCGCTACGCACGCGTAAGTGACAACCTATCCATCAGATCCTCTGCCTCCCTGGGGCGGGGGTGGATTCGAGAACTGGCGCCTAGAGAGTCAGAATTGAAAGGAGCGTGTTCGTGTGTGTGTGTGTGTGTGTGTGTGTGTGTGTGTATGAGAACGTGTATAAAAGGGGGGATAAAAGAGAGGTTGCTCTTCCAGGGTGACTAGTTTTGTAGGTATGTAAGGTCTGTGTCTGTATTTCCAAATTAAATACGTATGAGTGAGTACAAATGGGTGTTTGTGTGTATGAGTAGATTGTGTGTGCATATTTATGTAAGTATGGTGGTGTCGATTTGGGGAGGTAAAGTGTTAGTGGGAATGAGAGAACATGTTTGTATGTTTGAGTGTGCAGGAGTGCCTGTGCATGCATATTTGTGTCTTTGCAGATGTACACTGGGAAGATGTGAACTGCCCTTTAGATTTTGGTGTGGGGAGGGAAGCTGGGAGCCCTTCCTCCCTCCCAGGTAAAAGGCATCTGGAGCCCGTCAGGGCCTGTAGAGGAGGGCTTGGCCTGGTCTGCTGCTTGAGACAGACCACCCCTCCCCAGGGAGCAACCTCAGGCTGCTGTGAAGGGGGAATCTTTATGGCTAATTAATAGCTTGGTAGTTGGTATGGTTCTGGGCTGTGGGGAGGGTGATGTGGCCCCTCTGAGACCTGTTCCTGGGAACACAGCCTGTCCTTCTTCATCAAAAGGGAAGGGTTTTGGAGGGGGCCGCTAGGCTTTGCCTGTGCTTCCTCTGGGACCTGTCAGGGGAAGAGTGGGGTGTTCTAAAGGGGAACCTGCAAGAAGGTGTGTGAGAGGTGGGCGTGTCTTCATCAGCCACTCCCCTTTAGTGATAGCAGCTTGTTGCAGGAGAGAAAGGGCACTCTGCTGCTGACCTTGGCCTCTCAGAGGCTTCTCTGGATTGGTTTCTTCATCTGTAAAATGGGAGAGGGGGTCTGGTGAAATCTTAAGGGTCTTTACTGCTTCACTGAGCCCAAAAGGGAAACACTGGTAGCAACCACCTACCCTGGAGGAGACACCCCTGGCATTCACTGAGCTCTGCAAGGTCTGAATGGGGCCTAAAGCATGAGGGGGAGGGGCAGAGTTGGGAATTTAAAGCAGAGCCCCCCCACCGAACCCCCTACTAGGCAAACCACTGCTCTTTTTTTACTGTTCCACATCCCTTCCCTCCTGTCCCCGGGAGCCAAGGTTGGGAAGATGGGGCAGGGGAGGAGGCAGGATCAGTGCTGGGGATCGGTGGGGGAAGGGGACTTGGGGGGCACTGAGGTGTCCACGGGGAGAAAAGGGCTGTTTAGGCACAGGCCTGGTAGATTTGTGACTTAGATAGAACACTCAGTGTTTTAGCGTGTGAGGAAGGGGGCAGCAGGACAGAGTCTTATACATTAAATCCTAGAACAGATGTGTGTGTCGGCGGGGGTGGAAAGGGGAGAACCAAGCCCCTCATTTTGCCTCTGAAGACCCTACACAAGGTCACTCAGGGAGCTAGAGGCAAAGCAAGACTAGAACCTAGGTCTCCTGAGACCCCATCCTCCCCTGAACTGGCTGCCAGCTCCCTGCCATTCCCAGACTGGACTAGGACCCTCAGAGGTCTCCCCTCCCCTCTCCTCTCCTGACAGAGGCCACCATAGCCAGGGGATTATGTAACTGGAGGCTGTGGCTGAGCTGTGGGGAGGGGCAGAAGGAGGGGCACTGGGAGGTTGAACCAATACATGTTGGGGCTGGGGGCATGCTGGGCAAAGGCCTGAGTTAGAGCAGCCACCATTCAGCCTGCATTTGACCTTGGACAGCATCTCACCACCATGACCATCCTCCTCGGCCCAGGAAGGAAGGAGAAGGCCCAACTTCCTCATTGTCCTTTTGCCTACCTGGCTCCCTAGTAAGAGGCTGGATCCCCCCACCCCAGGGCTTGGGCTCAGCTTTAGGGTTCTGAGCTATGTTCCTGACTTTCAGGATAGGCAGGGGACATGTGGGGCAGGTTCCAGCCCCATCACTGTCCATCTTCTTCCACTTGACTCCATGTTCCTAGGCCATGGGGTGGCCTTCACCCCATGCAGATAAATGGGCGGGTTAGTGTGGTTTGGGGTCTTGTTGGTGTTCGAAACCTTACAGAAAAGTCCTGATTGTCTCAAGTGTTCATTGAAGAGCAGACTCTAAGGGAAGAGCTGGGGAGTAGTGGGGAGGTGGAGGTGGGCTAGAACCCCCCCCCGCCCCACCGTCATGCCACCACCTTCTTTTCCCAGTAGCCTCATAGAGTCATTCTAATGCCTTCGGGTGACATATGAGGACACTGAGGCTCACAGAGGAGGGACCTGCCCAAGGGCACTCAAGAACTGAGGGCAGAGCCTGGATTAGAACCCAGGCTTCCTGCTGCACGCCAGGCTGGCCTAGCTGCATTGCGCTGCCTCTCTCGGCTCATCTGCGCAGGGACCAGCCGGCTGCCTGTCCTTCCTCCCCCTCCATCTTTGCTGCTGCTGCTGTCACCTTTGTTTACCCCTCCCCCCTCCTCAAACTGGTGGGTCAGGATTTGAATTTTTATCTAGATTCTAGACCAGAATCCTGGATGTGTGTGACATCGCATGTGTGTGTGAAAGAAAAGCGGTATGTGTGTGAGAGAGATATCTGTGTAAGAGGGATTCTCTGTGGGTGTGAGAGACTCTTCATATGTATGAGAAAAGGCTGGGTAAGAATAAAAATACGTGTGAGTGAGACTGGGAGTAGGGTGTGCGTGTGTGTGCACGTGTGCGCGCGCGCATGTGTGCGTGCGCATGTGTGCGTGTTTGTGGTGAGACTCTGTGAGAGATTCTGTGAGTCTCTGTATCAGAAATTCTGTGTGAATGTGAAAGAGACAGATTCTGTGTGTTTTGAGATGGACCTTGTGTGTGAGAACAAGACAGCGTGGGAGAAAGCGCGTACATAAGAGAGGGAGACGTACGTGTAAGAGAAATGCTCTGTGTGTGTGTGTGACATGAACCTGAGGTGAGTGTGTCCCTGTGTGTGTATTTCTGTGTGTGGCGAGTGTGACACTGTATGTGTGGAGCTCTGCATGTGAGGCTGTGTGTGTGTAAGGCTGTGTGCATGAGACCATCTGTGCAGGCGACCGTACGTGGGGTAGCGGACCCTGCGTGTGGCTCGGGCCTTGTGTTGGTGTGCGTGTGCGTGTGTGTGTGTGAGGCTCTGTGTGTCAGTGTGGCTGTGGGTGATTGCTTGTGACAGAGACCCTGTGTTGCCCAGGCGTGGGTGTACCTTGAGGAAGATGAAACTCCAGACCAGCTTCCTGCTTGTTCCCTTGATCTCCTGGTCCTCCTGAGCTGCCTTAGTGAGTGGTTTTGCTCCTCACACCTGTCCTCAGTTGAAATACTGCTCTAGCCCAGGCCATTGTGGATGCATGGATCAGACAGACAGTGAGGCCACCCTGCCCCACCCAGGCCTTCTTGCTGGCCCTGGAAGGTAAGGGCTAATTGGCTGGAGCGGGAGGTCCCATCTGACCTCTTGAGGGGTGACAGTGTGAGCTAGAGCAGCCAGTTCCCTGGGTCCTCTCTCCCGTGTTTTCCTGGGCACCCAGGCTGAGGAGGTGAGGGGTGGGGAGGTGAGCTGGGACAGGACGGGGTGAGGGGTGGACACAGACAAGCAAAGCATGATGGTGCCACTATGTGGTAAGGGCCACAAAGGGGCTTCCTGGGGCTATTAAGAGGAGGCCCCATCCCAGAGGAGGCAATGCTAGGGTAAGCTTTGGGGGGCAGGTAGGAATTAGCCAGGCAGATGGCAGGGGACGGCAGCCCTGGCAAGCAAAGCCATGAGGGTGCGGGAGCAGGGCTGTTGGCAAAGCCTGGGGCGGCCTGCCTTGAAACCTGCCCTTCTCTCTGCCTTGGGGGCTGCTGCAGGCCTTGGGTTTTATCTATGGTTTGCTTGTTTTCATCAGGAACATTGTTCTGTGTCAGGTCAGGGCTAATGGTGGTCCTTGTTCTTTCTGTACGCCAGAGAGTATCCTTAGTATGTAGTGTGTGTGTGTGTGTGTGATGATATCTGTCCCCCTTTCAAATGACAGTCACTTGACCTTCCAGATGACAAGGAAGTGCCAGTGGTTCCCAAGCTGGGGAAGCCCCACCAGCCCACTGTCCATCTCTCCTCTGATGCTGGCTCTCTGTCTCTCTGCCTTGTTCCCTGCTCTTTGGGACCCGATGCAGCCCCAACTCCTCCTCAGCTCCCTGGGAGGGAAATGCGCTTGGTGGCCGGAGTGAAGAGCCCAGCAAGAGACTTCTGTTCCTCCCTGGGGGTCTTAGCTGACGCAGGCCTCTTGGAGTCTTGGTGAGATCCCGGAGGGAGAGAGCCGCTATCGGGGACTTCCTAGACAGCTCCCCACCTCAGAGCTTGCCAGGGCCCCACCTCTAGTCATGGTAACATGTGAAGGAGACCCGTGAGCAGTGGAGAAGGGGCTGCTGGGTCACCCTCCCCGCCGCCACCCCACGTGCCCCCCACAACAGTGTGCCCACCACTTGGTGTTTTTCTCCTTCCTGTGCTGCTTTCACAGGTGCCCTTGTGTCTCTGGATGATACCTTCCCCGCCGCCCCCCGCCCCAGCTCCCTTGTCAGTGGTGAAAAACCAGAAACCAGTATCTCCCTGTCCTAGTCTCTCAGCCCCTTGAACTCTAAAATGGGCCTAATGATAGAGTTAATGAATGATTCACTGAGGTCGTGTGTGGAGAGCCCCCAGTCACAGGGCCCGGCATGCAGTAAGTGCTCGATAAATATTGGTTGCCATTATCACTCCGACTGGTTGTACTATCCTTCTAGTTCATGGCTCTCTAGATTCCATCCTCTGCCCTCCGTCTCCACGTCCCCCATCCTGGTGCAAGCCACCGTTGTTCCCCTCAGACCCACCCCTCCAGCGCTTCCCCACTGCTCTCCTGCCTTCAGACCCTGGCGCCTCCAGCTCATTCTCTATTTGGCCACCACCGAGAGAGGGCTCTTCAGCTCAC